TATATATATATATATATATATATATATGTATACAGGGTGTCTGGAAATAATCGTCAAATATTTCATGGGCAGGTAGAGCGGACTAAACTGAGTTTACCGGTTCATGTAATAAGAAGGAATGAATGTGAAGCATTCTAACGCTTCAAATAAATGAAATAGTAAACAGAGATAATCATTCGATGCGGTTTATCACTTCGAGTAATCACGAATTTTATTGTTTCGTGTAGGAAGAATAAGGAAATGTAATCGCTTTATCGCTTCAAATAATCACGACAAGCTTTATCGCTTCGTGTAATAGGAAGAGTAAGGTAATGTAATCGCTTGAAACATTTTATCGCTTCAAGTAATCACGAAAGAGAGAAATTACGAGAAGCGTTTTACCGCTTCATGATCATCAGATGAAATGAATCTGCTCGAAACGTTCCAGTGATATAATTAATCGCTTTGAGCAAATATGAAATGGTTTTATGAGAGGGATCAGGAAATGGATGAGGGAAGAAAAGCAGAAATTTCTGATGGTTCGTTCCGTATTAAATAAAAAAAATGTTTCCGACGTATTGTATTCCGACGGAATTAATTACTTACTATCTCTGCAATTGAACGGAAGATTACGGTGGCGAATTCCTCAGATAATCGGATCGGAAGACGGGCTGATAGTGCTGGGTCTTGATGAAATCTGTCTTGGATATTGAGGGAAACCGCTTCAATAAAATGTTTATGATTGATCTGGAGAACTTCACGCACTATGATTTCGGAATTACAGCGGAACTGAAGTATATTGACTATTACTGACTGACTGCATAACTGACTGAATGTTCGACTGAATGTCCGATCGATTGAATATTCGACTGAATGTCCGATTGAATATCCAACTGGATATTCGACTGAATGCATGTTTCTCAAAGAGCCCTCGTATTTATATTCGCGGAGACGATGTGCCCTTCTTTGTTTTTGCTGTAGGTCCTTGACCTACAGCGTCTTCTAGGAATTGGACACTTGGAGGAATCGGATTGGTGAATGATTATAATTAGTCTTATCTAACTCCGGAAGCGCGAGCAACGTCAAATGCTGGTAAATAAAGTTTTAATGTAAAAGATTTATTGGGCAACGATTGACCTTCTGCCCCTGTGAGTTGACTAACTCTGAGCCCTATCAGTTAAATTTGTCGCTAGAAAAATTGAATTTTAATTGTTTTATCAGTATTTGGTTTGCTATACTAAATAAAAAATTTCTTATTTCCTAATTACAAAAAGATTTTTTTGTAATTTTTCCACGAAAGAAAAGAATCGTGGAGTCCTCTGGACGTAACATCTCCCCTCCCCCAGCTTAAACAAATATTGGGGGTGCACAACATTTGCAATTTTAGTAATAAATTTCGATTCTTTTCTTTTTGTGATTGTTAAATTATTAGTGAGTTTAGGAGGATCCACATTTGAGTTTATTGTCACTCAAGGATGTGGCATCTTTGAATAAGGCAATGTTTTATACTCTTACATCAATTTTTATTATTTATTGTGCTCCCTATTATATTTATCTTGACAAGAAGCAGGAAGCAATAGTGAGGCAACCTCCAAAACCTCTTCCTCTATTCCTTCATACCTCTTTAATTTATTTACTTATTTATTTAAGCGCCTATTTTTAATAAAATAGGCATGTCGTTAATTCCGTTACATTAATCTAGTATATTTGTAAATATATAATATTTTTGTCAAGAAGAAATAGGAAAGAACGTTGATAATTTTCGAATCTCTTTTTCTGTTCCTTTGTGCTTCTTAAGTTAAATTATAAAATATATTTTTATACATATATCTTTTATTTATTTTATAATATATACAATAAATGTATGTTTATTATCTATTCATAAATGCGGATGCTTATTTTATAGATAGCTGCATAATCTCTTAATTTCGTAACTGACTTCTCTTTCCTTTTTGGTTTCAATACATGGTGGATATTTCACTTATTTAAATGCAGCCAGCATATGAGGAAATCACTTGAGTGTCGCAGGTCACGAAAGATCAGGCATCCAGTATCAATTGATTCTAAAGTTATTGCCCTTGTGTGATCAGTAATGGTACCCCTTCGGTAATACTCCCCACCCCCCCCAATTCTAAGTAGGTATCTTTAATATTCTTATCGATACGCTGGAATTTTGAGAGACACCTAGTGCAATCTACAGCGTTTTTAATTATAAAGATTATTTTGTTGTTAATTATAAAGTTTATTTGTTTATTCACTGAATCCATGTAGATTAAGTGATGTAGGTAGATAGGTACGTAGCAGATTGTTAATTCGGCATGCTACTATAATAGTGTTCGCAGATTTTAAAGTGATTACTGAGACGCTGATACACCGGGAATCCAATTCACATGGTGAACACATCGGAGCTGGATTAGGTATCTTAGGTTATATATAGGCATCAATGGAGTTTGTCACTATATCGAATTTTGCCTCTCATTTCCCGAGAAATCAAAGGATCATCTTGGCATTTATCGCAATGACGATCAAATAATGTTTAAAGTCTATAAAGTCTAAGAAAGAAAGGAAAGAAAAATTTCACAATTGAGTTTTTTATATTAATAAGAATAATCTCCGCGGTATTTTTATCGAGTAATATTCTAAGTTATATTCGAGATTAACTTATACAATAATTAAATGTTAATAGGCGGGGGAGGGTGATATGGATTATCTGCGTTAGACACGAAATGCTAGCATTAGCTTATAGAATTGAAGACTTTAGACCCACGTGGAGACTGCTGGTACTTCCCATTCCTGTTTCCAGGAATACCCTATCAGCATCCACAAATGGTTCAATGCATCTTGGGCATTCTTCTGCAGGTTGTATTCATATGATCGTTGTATTGCAGGTTGAGCAGTTCGTCTGGCTTCGCCAGATTTTTCGTGAATTAACATATGCGAAAAAAAAGAAGTGTAAGAAGTGTATTTTTCCACTCGTATGGTGCCGTCATAACAATCAACGTTTCATAACAATCTTCATAAATTTTAAAGAAGTTGTTGACATTTTGATAGATTCGCCTTTCCAGGTAAGACGTCGAAATTTCATCAGGTATCGATAGATCTTCCGTCGGAAGTGACATAGGTTTTCTCCATGGTTAAAGATGCAACAGAGCGATATGCAGACATCATATTTTCATGTACTGTACTGATTTCAAGTACATCAGCGGTTAACTTCAAAGAAAGATTGATATAATAATATTGATATAATTATCATTATTAGTCAATCAATCTTTCCCCTTTGTACTAATAAAGAACGTTAATATTACAAATTCCT